CTGTTGGTTCACTGTTGGTAGTTCACTGTAGCCTTAGTTACTGTTGGTTCACTGTTGGTGGATCACTGTGTGGTCTTAGTTACTGCTGGTTCACTGTTGGTGGTTCCTTAGTTATTACTGTTGGTTCACTGTTGGTAGTTCACTGTAGACTTAGTTACTTGGTTCACTGTGGTGGATCACTGTGGTCTTAGTTACTGTTGGTCACTGTTGGTGGTTCACTGTAGACTTAGTTACTGTTGGTTCACTGTTGGTGGTTCACTGTGGCCTTAGTTACTGTTGGTGGTTCCTGTAGCCTTGACTACTGTTGGTTCACTGTTGTGATTCACTGTGGCCTGAGTTACTGTTGGTTCACTGTAGCCTTAGTTACTGTTGGTTCACTGTTGGTGGATACTGCCTTGTATTACTGTTGGTGGTTCACTGTAGCCTTAGTTACTGTTGGTTCACTGTTGGTGGTTCACTGTAGCCTTAGTTACTGTTGGTTCACTGTTGGTGGATCACTGTATAGTTACTGTTGGTGGTTCACTGTATGTTACTGTTGGTTCACTGTTGGTGGATCACTGTGGTCTTAGTTACTGTTGGTTCACTGTTTGGTGGATCACTGTATAGTTACTGTTGGTTCACTGTTGGTGGTTCACTGTAGCCTTAGTTACTGTTGGTGGTTCACTGTTGGTGGATCACTGTGGTCTTAGTTACTGTTGGTTCACTGTTGGTGGATCACTGTATATAAATACTGTTGGTTCACTGTTGGTGGTTCACTCGTAGCCTTAGTTACTGTTGGTGGTTCACTGTTGGTGGTTCCTGTATAGTTACTGTTGGTGAGTTCACTGTAGCCTTAATTACTGTTGGTGGTTCACTACAGCCTTAGTTACTGTTGGTGGTTCACTGTAGCCTTAGTTACTGTTGGTGGTTCACTGTAGCCTTAGTTACTGTTGGTTCACTGTTGGTGGTTCACTGCAGCCTTAGTTACTGTTGGTGGTTCACTGTGGCCTTAGTTACTGTTGGTTCACTGTTGGTGGTTCCTGCATAGTTACTGTTGGTTCACTGTTGGTGGTTCACTGTAGCCTTAGTTACTGTTGGTTCACTGTTGGTGGTTCACTGCAGCCTTAGTTACTGTTGGTGGTTCACTGTAGCCTTAGTTACTGTTGGTTCACTGTTGGTTCACTGTAGCCTTAGTTACTGTTGGTTCACTTTCCTTCCATTCTATCAGTGGTTGATTCACTTTCTGCTCCTCAGCGTCTTGATGGAGCTCCTGGGAATAATAATTGCACCCCTCAAGCACTGATGATCATCCTGGGTAAAAAAAAAAACGCATCCCTCTGGCTGTGTTGATCCTCCTGGGAATAGTAACAGCATCCCTCTGGTGGTGTTGATCTTCCTGGAGAAAAAATACGTCCTTGGGGTAGTGGAGGCTCTCCCGAATAATAAACCGCTTCCTTCTGGCGGTGTTGATGCTCCTGGGAATAGTAACGGCATCCCTTGGTCGTTGTTGATCGTCCTGGGGAAAAATACGTCCATCTGGTAGTGAGACTCTCCGAATAATAATAACTCTTTATGGTGGTGTTGATCATCACCAAAAAAATAAAACATGCTACCCTCTGTTAGTTAAGGCTCCCGGGAATAGTAACAGCATTCCCTCTGTCGTGTTGATCGTCCTGAAATAAAATTACCTTCCTTTCGCTGTTGTTGTCGTTGGTGGAAAATAACAAGTATTTCCTCTTGTACTCATCCTCTTAGCTTTCCCTCACCTCGTCCTTCCAGGCCACACTAGCTGCCTTGTGGTTCTCCCTCTCCCTCTCATCTATTCTTCCTCCATTTCTTTTCTCTCTCCTCTCTCTCTCTCTCTCTCTCTCTCTCTCTCTCTCTCTCTCTCTCTCTCTCTCTCTCTCTCTCTCTCTCTCTCTCTCTCTCTCTCTCTCTCTCTCTCTCTCTCTGTCTCTCTCCTCTACATTGTTCCTCCCTCTTCTCTCTCTCTCTCCCTCTCTCTCCCCTTACCCCCTCTCTCTCTTCTCTTCTCTTCTCTCCTCTCCTTTCTATCCCTTCTCTGTACTTCATCCCTGCCTCCCTCTCTTCTCTCTCTATCTCTCTCCCTGTCTTCCCTTACCCCTTGTCTCCCCTTGTATCCCTTCTCCCCTCTCTTCTCTCCCCTCTTCACATCACATCTCTTGTTCTCCCTCTTTCCTCCCTCTCCCCCTCCCCTCATCCAGGGGCCTGAAGGACTCATGTTGTTAAGGGAAGCTCGGATAGGCTAGTCTTAGCCAAGGTTAAGGGTTGGCAGCGGGATTTTTTTTAACCGGAGGCAAGTATTGAATAAATGGTCCAGGAAATGGCCTGAAATAATCAGGGTTTGTACGAATAATCAGGGGTTGTGCGGACACCTAAAACACATGCAATAGGGAAAAATGATAAACGGTGGCATAAATACGGATAATCTGGTTTATAGACACCTTGAGATCATTCGGATAATAACGGGGGTGCAGATAACCCAATTTTATTTATTGTATTGAGATTTTAATTTATTGTATTGACTATTGTGTATTTGCTGTTGGAATTCTTGCATGCAACAGGTTTCTTAAGTAAACAACAAACAAACCAATGACCGTAATGATGGGTTGCTGTGGCTGAGTGGATACCAATACTCACTTCCGTCCTAAGGTCACTGGACGTTCACACTGCGTCAGTCCACCCAGATGTAATGTGCACCTGACTAACACATTGAGAAGTGAAGGTGGTCAAGTACAGTGTCAGCCACTGTGCCTCTCTCCGTGTTAGAGGTTTACTGGGTCCTTAACCTACCCTAACCTAACAGGTCCTTTAGCTATGATCAACTCTCACTGTTGTTATTATATACATATTATTATTATTTATTATTATTATTATTATATTATTATTATTATTAGTGTTGTTGTTGTTGTTTTTGTTATTATTTACTTAATCCTTATGAACAACTAATATATCCCTAAATTTGTTACATTTTGTTGCTTTTATCATTAAAAAAATATTCTTGTGTATTATTTTCTCATAAACAATTCAAACCTGTAATACTAAAAACTCATTTAAACTAAATTAATTAAACCTTTTATAAATTTTTCCGGGACCATTATAAGACCGGGACTCATTATGCGTCTTCATAATAGTGCGACCTGAAAAAAATATTCCAGTGTACACGGTCTGGTTTTTATTGTTGCTGATAACTAATTAAAAGAATTTCTCTTTCATTGTATTAGGATGACTTGGTGTGTGAGTCAAAAATAATGTTTAAAATGTTAATTGTCCACACGATAACTTGAACAAATAACAATCTACCAATGTGTTGATATTACAAAATCACTTTGATAATGCAAGTATTGTGTGTGACCTGGTACAGTACCTATGAACTTTGTTGAGCATTGTGTTACAGTTATAGCATAGACTTTGTTGTGACATTGGTACAGTTATATCCATAGACCTTATTTAACGTTGTGGTACACAATTATAGCCTTAGACCTTGTTGTGGCATTGTGTTATGGTATGGCCCAACTTTGTTGTGACGTTGTGGTACACAGTATGGCCCCTTAGACCTTGTTGTGACGTTGTGGTACACAGTTATGGCCTAAGACTTTGTTGTGACGTTGTGGTACACAGTTATGGCCCCTTAGACTTTGTTGGCAACGTTGTAGTACACAGTGCAAGCCCCTTGAACTTTTATTCTTGGCATTGTATTTTGGTATAGCCCCTTAGACTTTGTTGCCTTGTTTTAGTACAGTTACCGTCCCCTTGAGCTTTGTTGTAGCATTATGTACACAATTGCTTGTAGACTTTGTTGTGGCATTGTGAGTACAATTATAGCCCCTTAGACTTAATTCTGCATGGTAAAACACCACCCACCTACCCACACCCCATGCCTCCCCAACCTCTGTGGTAGAGAAAGGGCCATTTATTATGCTAATATCATATATATAACTGATGAGCTCCCATAAATTTGAATTACATTCCACCTGTGTTGAGGAATTACTGCTGTTTCTGAGAGATTTTGCCGCTGTTGAGGTTACTGCTGACTATTGAGGATACTGCTGACTGTATGAGGATTATTGCTGAGAATAACTGCACAGTTACTGTTGAGGTTACTGCTGAGGATTACTGCCCAACCGTGAGGACTGCAGCTCTTGAGGGAACAACAAAATGCAATCCCTCTTCACCCCCTCCCCTCTTGCCCTCCCCTTCCCCCTCCCCTCTTCCCCTCCTCTTCCCCCCCCTCCTTCCCCCCTCCTCACTTCCCCTCTCCTGGCCCCACCCCTCCTCACTTCCCCCCCTCCTCAGCCCCACCCCCTCCCCTCAGCCCCACCCCTCTCATTACCCCCCAACCCCCCACCTCACGGCCACCCTCATGACCCCAACCCCCCTCCCATGCCCCCACCCCCCTCCATAGCCCCACCCCTCCTCATGACCCCACCTCCCCGCAGCCCCACCTCCTCATGACCCCCACCCCCTCACTTGAACCAACCCCTCCTCACATGACCCCACCCACCCTAACCCCTCCTCACAGCCCCACCCCCTCCTGTCCCCACCTCCCTCTCCTTGCCACCCCTCATGCCCCTCACGACCCCACCCCCCTCACTTGGCCCCAACCCTCCTCCTTGACCCCACCCCCTCCCATAACCCCCCTCCTCCTCAGCCCCCCTCCCATGACCACCACCCCTCCCCCCAGCCCCCACCCTCCTCCTTAGTCCCCACCCCTCCTCTTCACCCCCTCCTCATGACCCCCCCCTCCTCATTACCCCTCCTCATGACCCCACACCCTCTTGTGACCCCTCCTCCCCTGACCCCCACCCCTGCTCCTGAACCCCCTCCCCCCGCCCCACCCCCTCCTCATTACCTCCTCCTTTACCCCCTCCCCATGACCCCCTCCTCCTTCACATCCCTCCTCACGACCCCCACCTCCTCACGGCCCCACCCCCACCTCATAACCCCCTCCTCATGACCCCACCCCCTCCTCAGGCCCCCTCTCCCTCACGGCCCCACCTCCTCCTCCCCCTCCTGATCAGCCCCCTCCTCCTGCTAGCCCCTCCTCCTCCCCTCCTCATGACCCCACCACCCTCCTTCGCAGCCTCTCCTCATGACCCCACCCCTCTCCTCATTACCCTCCCCATGACCCCCACCCCTCTCCTTACCCCCCTCTCCAATCCCCCCCTCCTCACCGGCCCCACCCCTCCTCTCCCGCCCCCCCACCTCCAGCCCCCACCCCTCCTCACCCCCCACCCCTCCTCGCAGCTCCCCACCCCCTCCTCATGGCCCCCACCCCCTCCCTCCCCATGTCCCCACCCCCTCCTCCTTGCCCCCCCTCCTCACAATCCCCATCCCCCTCCTCCTTGACCCCCAGGACCTCCATGACAATATAAACATGATTTTATTTGTCTTCCCTCTTGTGTAATAATCTCCCCTCTCTCCCCTCCTCATCCTCTCACCCCCCTTACTTCTTAGCCCTGCCTCTCTCCCTCCACCTCTTCCTCCTCCTTCTCTTCTCCTCCCCTCTTCTCCCCTCCTCTCCCCTCTTCTCCCCTCCGTTACCCGGCACCCTATTATTACATCCCCCTTGCCTTCTCTTTCATGCCTGTAACGCCCCCCCTCCTGCTACACCCCAGCCCCCCACCTAGTTCCCCCCTGCCCCACTCCCCTTGCCACTCCCAGTCCCCCCTTACCTTTCCCCCTCCCTGCAACACCCAGCCCCCCCACCACTCCCAGTCCCCCTGCAACACCCCCTCCTCCTTGCAACACCCCAGTCCCCCTGCTTCCCCAGTCCCCCTGCCTCCCAGTCCCCTAACACCCCAATCCCCCCTTACCCCCTCCTGCTACCCCAGCCCCCACCCACCCCTAGTTCCCCCTCCTTTTCCCTCCCCCATTGACACCCCAATCCCCCCTTGCACCCCTCCCTCACCCCAGCCCCCACCAGCACCCCTAGTTCCCCCTGCCCACCCCCACTCCCCGCTTACACCCCCAATCCCCCTGCAGCACTCCCAGTCCCCCCTCAACACCCCACTCCTCCCTTCCAACACCCCAATCCCCCTTGCAACACCCCCCTCCTGCACCCAGCCCCACCGCCCCTAGTTCCCCCTCCTTTTACCCCCCCCTTGCCCACCCCCAATCCCCCCTTCCAACACCCCTCCCTACTACACCCCAGCCCCACCTTATGTTCCCCTCCAACACTCCCCGCTCCCCTGCCTCCCAATCCCCCTGCAGCACCCCAGTCCCCTGCACACCCCTCCTCGCTTACCTTGATCCCCTGCCCCCAATCCCTGCAGCACCCACAGTTCCCCCTGCAGCACCCCCCAGTCCCCTGCAACACCCCAGTCCCCCTCACCTCAATCCCCCTGCAACCCCCAGTCCCCTGCATTCCCCAATCCCCCAACACCCCATGCCCCTACAACACCCCCAATCCCTTGCAACACCCCAGCCCCTGTCCCCACCCTGCCCCCCACAACCGGGGTTTGGTCCGTCTTAAAGAGGTAATCTGTCCTCAACATAACTCACGAGGCTGCACATTGCACCCTCACAAGTTTAAAGCCACCAGCCCCACCCAGCCCACCCCAGCCACCCACCAAGACACCACCAAGCCAGCCCCGTCTCACCGCAGCAACACCCCACCCACAGACCCAACCAATTATCCACCCATTATTATTATTATTATTATTATTATTATTATTATTATTATTTATTTTGTATTGTCATCATCACCATCATCACCATCATCACCATCATCATCACCACCACCATCATCACCACCACCATCATCACCACCATCATCACCACCATCATCATCACCACCACCATCATCACCACCATCATCATCACCATCATCACCACCACCACATCATCATCACCACCATCATCACCACCACCATCATCACCACCACCATCATCACCACCACCACCACCCACCATCACCACCACCATCATCATCACCACCATCATCACCACCACCACCATCATCATCACCACCACAGTACAGGGCCAAACACAACCTGCGCTTTTCACCACCAAATTTTATCGTCGTGAAATGTGATTTGTTATCCATTTATTATTATAGTTTGTCCGGAAATGTTGTTGTTGTGATGGTGGTGAACCATTAGATGGTGTGGAGGGTGGTGGTAAATACTATGACGATGGTTGTTGTTGTGATGGTGGTGGTAATTACTAATGACGATGGTTGTTGTTGTGGTGTGAATTATGTGACGATGGTTGTGATGGTGGTATGCTGTGACAATGGTTGTTGTTGTGATGGTGGTAGTTACTGTGACGATGGTGTAGTTGTTAATGGTGGTACTTGCTGTGACGGTGGTAGTTGTTGTGATGGTGGTAGTTGCTGTGACGATGGTTGTTTATTTGAGTGGTGGTAGTTGCTGTGACGATGTTTGTTGTTGTGATGGTGGTAGTTGCTGTGACGATGGTGAGTAGTTGTTAATGGTGGTACTTGCTGTGACGATGGTTGTTGTTGTGATGGTGGTAGTTGCTGTGACGATGGTGAGTAGTTGTTAATGGTGGTACTTGTGACGGTGGTAGTTGTTGTGATGGTGCTAGTTGTTGTTGTGATAGTTGTAGTTGTTGTGATGGTGGTACTTGCTGTGACGGTGGTAGTTGTTGTTGTGATAGTTGTTGTTGTGATAGTGGTAGTCACTTTCCTTCCCCTCTCTTCTTCTCTCCCCTCATTTCCTCCCCTTTTCCATTCTCTTAATTTCTCTTTCTTTTCACTACTTTACCTAATTCTCCCCTCTTTAGTGTGTGTGTGTGTGTGTGTGTGTGTGTGTGTGTGTGCAGGTTGTGCTCATGGTGTGTGGTTTCCATGGAGTGTAATGCAGCTTAGGGTTTTCACCACCACCACTTTTCACTATCACCACCACCCATCACCACCACTCACCACCACCACCCACCACCACCACCACCCACCACCACCACCACCACTACTACCACCACCACCTACACCACCACCACCCTCACTCACCACCACCACCACCACCACCACCACCACCACTCACCACCACCACCACCACCACCACCACCACCACCACCACCACCACCACCACCACCACCACCACCACCACTCCCACCACCATCACCACTACCACTCACCACCCACACCACCACCACCATCACCACCACCACCACCACCACCACTCACCCACTTACCATCACCACCACCACCACCACCCCATCACCACCACTCACCACCACCACCACCACCACCACTACTACTACCACCACCACCACCACCACCACCACTACCACCACCACTCACCACCACCACCACCACTCACCACCACCACCACCACTACTACCACCACCACCACCACCACCACCACCACTCACCACCACCACCACCACCACCACCACACCACCACCACCACCACCACCATCATCACCACCACCACCACTTATCACTACTACCCACCCCATCACCACCACCCTCACCACCACCACCACCACCACCACCACCACCACCACCACCACCACCCACCACCCTCCTCCTCACTATCGTAATCTTGTTAGGATACAAATTCTCCTCTCCCCTGCTGTATTTAACGCTGTATTTGGCTGTATTCTGTGGTGGTGTGATGGATCCTCGAGTGATAGATTGGATGCATAGTTGGGTGAGGAGGGAGGAGGGTGAGGAGGAGGAGGAATGCTGAGATGGGTAGGTAGGTGATCGGAGGGAGGGAGGGAGGGTGAGAGGAGGAAGGAGGAATGAGGAGGGGGTGAAGGATGAAAGAGAGTGAGAGATGGAGGAGGGAGGAGGAGGGAGGTAGAGGAAGGGTAGTGCAAAACACGTCATTACAGAGGCCCTCACAGTTGTGTTCATAGCCAATCTCATTAAAATTAAATTGAGTGAGCCCGAGACTGTGGCCAGGTAAGGTGGTTGTGGCCACGTTAGGTGAGTGTGGCCAGGTGGTGGCTGGCCAGGTTGGTGGTGTGGCCAGAGTGAGGTGGCTGTGGCCAGGTTAGTGAGTGTGGCACGGTGGTGGCTGTGTGGGTTAGGTGAGTGTGGCCAGGTGAGGTGGCTGTGGCCAGGTTAGGTGAGTGTGTGGTGAGGTGGCTGTGGCCAGGTGGTGTGTACGGTGCCTCCTGTACTGATGGTTTAATAGTGTAGGCCCTGTGCCTCCTATACTGTTGGTTTAGTACAGTGTCAGTGCCTCCTGTACTGATGGTTTATACAGTGACCCCTGATGGTTTAGTACGTGTCGGCCACAGTGCCTCTGTACTGATGGTTTAGTACAGTGTCGCCTGCCCCTGTACTGTTGTTTAGTACAGTGTCCGTGCCTCTGTACTGATGGTTTAGTACAGTGTATGCTACTCTGCTGATGGTTTAGTACAGTGTCTGTACTTCCTGTACTGATGGTTTAGTACAGTGTCGTACATGCCTCTACTGATGGTTTGTACAGTATGCACGTGCCTCCTTACTGATGGTTGTACAGTGCAGCCACGGTCCTCCTGTACTGATGGTTTAGTACAGTGTCGGCCACGGTGCCTCCTGTACTGTTGGTTTAGTCAGTGTCGCACGGTGCCTCCTGCTGAGGGTTTAGTACATGTAGCCACAGTGCCTCCTGTACTGATGGTTTAGTACAGTGTACAGTGCCTCCCTGTACTGATGGTTTAGTACAGTGTCAGCCACAGTGCCTCCTATTACTGATGGTTTAGTACAGTGTCGGCCACGGTGCCTCCTGTACTGATGAGGTTTAGTGATGTCGGCCACGGTGCCTCCTGTACTGGTGGTTTAGTACAGTGTCGGCCACGGTGCCTCCTGTACTAGTGGTTTAGTACAGTGTAGCCACTGTGCCTCCTGTGCTGATGGTTTAGACACTGTTGCCACTGTGCCTCCTGTACTGATGGTTTAGTACAGTGTCGGCCACGTGCCTCCTGTACTGATGGTTTAGTACAGTGTCGCACAGTGCCTCTGTACTGATGGTTTAGCCTGATGTCAGCCACTGTGCCTCCTGTACTGATGGTTTAGTACAGTGTCGGCACGGTACTCTGTACTGATGGTTTAGTGTGTCGGCCCGGTGCCTCCTGTACTGATGGTTTAGTACAGTGTCGGCCACAGTGCCTCCTTTACTGATGGTTTAGTACAATGTCGGCCACGGTGCCTCCTGTACTGATGGTTTAGTACAGTGTCGGCCACGGTGCCTCCTGTACTGATGGTTTAGTACAGTGTCAGCCACTGTGCCTTCCTGTACTGATGGTTTAGTACAGTGTCGGCCACGGTGTCCTGTACTGATGGTTTAGTGCGGTGTCGTCTCCTGTACTGATGGTTTGTTACGATGTCGGCGCCTCCTGTACTGATGGTTTAGTACAATGTCGGCCACGGTGCCTCCTGTACAGATGGTTTAATACAGTGTCGGCCCCAGTGCCTCCTTAGCCATGATGGTTTGGTGTCACTGCCTCTATATGATGGTTATAGATGATTTACGTGCTGAGAGCCGCAGTGCCTCCTGTACTGATGGTTTAGTACAATGTCGGCCACGGTGTCTGTATGCATGGTTTAGTACAGTGTCGGTGCCCTTACTGATGGTTTAATAAATCTAAAACGTGCCTCCTATGATGGTTTAATGGTGTCAGCCACAGTGCTCTGTACTGATGGTTTAATATGGTGAGATGTACTGCCTCTTACTTATGGTTTAGTACAGTGTAGGCCACGGTGCTCCTGTACTGATGGTTTAATACAGTGTGCGTGCAGTGCTCTCTGTACTGGATACTAGTTTAGTACAGTGCCGTGCGTACTGATGGTTTGTTATAAGCCACGATGCCTCCTGTACTGATGGTTTAATACAGCTCACGGTGCCTCCTGTACTGATGGTTTAGTACAATGTTGAGCGCCACGGTGCCTCCTGTACTGATGGTTTGGCAGTGCTCGGCCACGGTGCCTCTGTACTGATGGTTTAAGTACAGTGTCGGCCACGGTGCCCTGTACTGATGGTTTAAAATACAGTGTCATACGGTGCCTCCTGTGCTGATGGTTTAGTACAGTGTCGGCCACGGTGCCTCCTGTACTGATGGTTTAGTACAGTTAGGCCACGGTGCCTCCTGTACTGTTGGTTTAATACAGTGTCACGGTGCCTCCTGTACTGATGGTTTAGTACAGTGTGGGCCACGGTGCCTCCTGTACTGATGGTTTAGTACAGTGTGGCCACAGTGCCTCCTGTACTGATGGTTTAGTACAGTGTGGGCCACGGTGCCTCCTGTACTGATGGTTTTAGTACAGTGTGGGCCTGTGCCTCCTGTACTGATGGTTTAGTGCAGTGTCGGCCACGCAGTGCCTCCTGTACTGATGGTTTAAATACAGTGTAGGCCACGGTGCTCCTGTACTGATGGTTTAGTACAGTGTCATGTACAGTGCCTCCTGTACTGATGGTTTAGTACAGTGTAGACGCAGTGCCTCTGTACTGATGGTTTAGTACAGTGTCGGCCACGGTGCCTCCTGTACTGATGGTTTAGTACAGTGTGGGCCAGTGCCCTGTAATGATGGTTTGTACAGTGTGGGCCACGGTGCCTCCTGTACTGATAGTTTAGTACAGTGTGGGCCACGGTGCTTCCTAACCCTAATGGTTTAGTACAGTGTCGTACAGTGCCTCCTGTACTGATGGTTTAGTACAGATGTCGGCCATGGTGCCTCCTGTACAGTTTTAGTGCAGTGTCGGCCACGTGCCTCTGTACTGTTGGTTGACAAACTGTGTAACCCACAGTACTTCATGTACTGATGGTTTAATGTAGTGTCGTATGATACATACTGATGATGGTTTAATACAGTGTCGGCCACGGTGCCTCCTGTACTGACAAGTTTTAATGATATGTACAGTATTCTACTACGATGGTTTAGTACAGTTGCAGCCACAGTGCCTCCTGTACCAATAGTTTGATACAGTATAATACAAACAACTTACTGATGGTTTAGTAGTGTACAGCTCATGGTGCTTCACTGTACTGATGGTTTAGTACAGTGTCATCACAGTTCTTCCTCTGTACTGATGGTTTTAGTACAGTGTGGGCAACTAGTGCCTCTATCACTGATAGTTTATACAGTGTCATCGGTGCTTCAATGGTTTAATACAGTCTAATACATACTTCCTGTACAATAGTTTAGTAAAATTAGCTACCTGGTTTAGTACAGTGTCGGCCCAGTGCTCTGTACTGATGGTTTAGTACGAGTAAACCTTCCCTATAACTGCCTACATGGTTTAGTACAGTGATCGTAAATTGCCTCTGTACTGAAGTTTATGCAGTGTCGGCCTGCCTCCTGTACTGATTGGTTTAGTACAGTGTCGACCGCAGTGCCTCCTCATACTGATGGTTTAGTACAGTGTCCTGTAAAGTGCCTCCTGTACTGATGGTTTAGTACAGTGTCGGCCCACAGTGCTTCTAATTGGGTGTAACCACTGCACTCCTGTACTGATAAACATACAGTATCAACACGATACTTCTTACTGCATTTAATGCAATGTCGCCACGATACTTCTACCCACAATGATGGTTTATACAGTGTCGCAACAGTACCTCTATGATGAATTTATACTGATATATTACTTCCTGTACTGATGGTTTAGTACAATGTCAACACTCTATCGATGCTTCACAGCACTCTGATGGTTTAGTAATGTCATTGCATCTCATACTGATGGTTTAGTACAGTGTCGAATAACGCAGTGCTTACCAGTACCACTCTACTGATGGTTTAAGTACAGTGTTAAACGCAGTGCTCTCCTGTACTGATGGTTTAGTACAATGTCACCATATAAATTGTTTCAGCGATGTCACATACAGTAACTTCTAACACTGATGGTTTGTACAGTGTGTGCGGTGCCTCCTGTACTGATGGTTTAGTACGTGTCCCAGCCGGTGCCTCTGTACTGATGGTTTAAATACAGTAAAACCCACGGTGCCTCCTGCTCGATGGTTTAGTACAGTGTCACGCGGTGCCTCCTGTACTGATGGTTTAATACCAGTGTCAGCCACGGTGCCTCCTGTACTGATGGTTCACAATGGCCATTACGTTGGCTGCCCGATGGTTTAATTCTCAGTCACAGTGCTTCCTGTACTGAT